TAAAAAGGTGCAGTAATCTACATTTTCTCCATTATTCGAATAATCTATTTTTAGACCATTGTTGATATGAAATGAAACAAGAGTTCATCCTCAATATTGTGGAAATTATCGTACAAACATATGTACATTCTGAAAACATATTATAGAAAGCTTTATATTTGTTAGGACTTTTTATATGAAGCTTCCAATTAGAACAAAAATGCCATTTTTCCTAATATTCAGAGACATCTCTATATTTAGCCACCTGATACTAAAAATAGAAAAAGGGAATTCCCCTCAACAATTATCCTAACCAGCTAGTGGTATCCAGATCTTGCCATTAACATCTCAAATTTTACAAAATATTTCCTAATTATGCAGTAATTACATCTATAAGTGCCTGAAAGGGTGCAATAATCTACCTCTTCTCAAATTATTCGAGTAATCTATTTTTAGACCATTGTTGCCATTAAATGAAACAAGAGTTCATCCTCAATATTGTAGCAATTTTTTGCAAACACAAGTACATTCTGAAAGCATATTGTAGAAAGCTTTATATTTGTTAGGACTTTTTATATGAAGCTTCCAGTTAGAACAAAAATGTCATTTTTCCTAATATTCAGAGACACCTCTATATTTAGCCATCTGATCTAGAAATGGGATTTCCCCTCATCAATTATCCATACCTGCTAGTGGTATCCAGATCCTGTCATTTACATCTAAAATTTTACAAAATATTTCCTAATTATGCAGTAACTACATCTAAAAATTGCCTGAAAAAGTGCAATAATCTACATTTTCTTAATTATTGGAGTAATCTATTTTTAGACCATTGTTGCCATTAAATGAAACAAGAGTCCATCCTCAATGTTGAAGCAATTTTGGAACAAACATATGTACATTCTGAAAGCATATTGTAGAAAACTTTATATTTGCTAGGACTTTTGATATGAAGCTTCGAATTAGAACAAAAATGCCATTTTCCTAATATTCAGAGACATATCTATATTTAGCCAACTGTTACTAAAAATAGAAATGGGAATTCCCCTCAACCGTTGTCCATACCAGCTAGTGGTGTCTAGCTCTTGTCATTAGAATCTCAATTTTTACAACATACGTTCTAATTATGCAGTAATGACAATTAAAATTTTGCCAAAATTTGATTTTTCACATTTTTCTAAAATATATATATTTATAGATATATGTTGCTAAAAATAGAAGCAAAAGCCCACTTATGTTTATAGTAACCCACATAAGATTTGGGAAATTTCCGCGGACAATTTTTCTTATTTAGCCTCAAAGATCTCAAAAAATTCCATTTTCCCCATTTTTCAAATTTTTAGAAACCATATCAGTTTGCATGACCTTTTTCTTACAGGAAGAATATTTCGAGAATAAACAATAAAATGCCTTGTGTACCTTAAAAGGTCATGTTATCATATAATCTAATGATTTTTGTTAGAGCGTATTAGATACCGATAAATATTCATTTACATTTCCTCAATTTTCATGTTTTCATTTAGTCAAAAGGGGCCAAAAATGGCCGAATTCTAAGGATTCGTCTCCATGGCAACCAAGTGCACGTGTGGAACTTCCGACACCATATTTACTAGTTTTGTACCAAGACACACCTATGGTAAAAATTTCATCAAAATCCGAGACATGTCGTTTCCAAGCCCTATAATAAATTCGTTGGTGTTTACAGAGAATGCGTGTTAAAAGACTTAGGTTGAGAACTGTCACTACCCGTGTGAAACAAGTTTTCGACGCTGCACTGGTAAAGAGACTAAATCTAAGAGTGCGAAAGGAGCATCAAACCCTTAGGGTCCATTTTGTACCTAGGATGTTGTAGAACTCTATTAGTCCGTATATATACAAAAACTTCTGATAGGCATAGTGAAAGAAACTGTTATAAATCTACTTTATTTTTATGTTGTGTAAATACATGAAGTTAAGATGGCATTTTCAACAAGAAGCCCAGGGGCCACAGCGCTCACCTGAGCACACCGGCTAGGAAAAAGCATATATTAGATCAGAACTAAAAGTTTACTGAGGTGGGGGGGGGGCTTGAATTTAAACCCCCGGGGGTTCATGATTTGAACAAACTAGAATCTACACTACCTGAGGATGATTCCATATAAATATCAATAATCATGGCTTTGAATACTTGAAAAGGAGATTTTAAAAGGTTTCCCTATACATCCCTATGTAAAACTTAGGTCAGCCATTTTGGCCCCACCCTGGTCCCGGGGGTCATGATTTGAACAAGCTTAAATCTACACTACCTGAGGATAATTTTACATGAGTTTCATCTCTCCTGTCTCAATGGTTCTTGAGAAGATTTCTAAGATTTTTCCTATATATTCCTATGTAAAACTTTGATCGGCCATTTTGGCCCCACCCTAGCCCTGGGGGTCATGATTTAAACAAACTTGAATCTACACTACCTGAGGATGATTCCACATGAGTGTCATCTTTCCTGGCCCAGTGGTTCTTGAGAAGAAAACTTATAAAGAGTTTTCCTATATATTCCTATGTAAAACTTGGGTCTGTCATTTTGGCCCCACCCTTGCCCCGTCGATCATGATTTGAACAAATTTGAATCTACACTACCTGAGGATGATTCCAGATGAGTCTCCTCTTTCCTGGCCCAGTGGTTCTTGAGAAGAAGATTTTTAAAGAGTTTTCCTTTATATTCCTATGTAAAACTTTGATCGGGCACTTTGGCCCCACCTTAGCCCCGGGGATCATGATTTGAACAAATTTGAATCTACACTACCTGAGGATGATTCCACATGAGTTTCACCTTTCCTGGCCCAGTGGTTCTTGAGAAGAAGATTTTTAAAGAGTTTTCCTATATATCCCAATGTAAAACTTGGGTCGGCCATTTTGGCCCCACCCTAGCCCCGGGGGTCATGATTTGAACAAATTTGAATCTACACTACCTGAAGATAATTTTACATTAGTTTCATCTTTCCTGGCACAGTGGTTCTTGAGAAGAAGATTTTTAAAGAGTTTTCCTATATATCCCTATGTAAAACTTGTGTCGGCCATTTTGGCCCCACCCTTGCCCCGGGGGTCATGATTTGAACAAATTGAATCTACACTACCTTAGGATGATTCCAAATGAGTGTCATCTTTCCTGGCCCGGTGGTTCTTGAGAAGAAGATTTTTTTAAAATGCAATTATTTTTTTTCTCTAATTCATAATTATCTCCCCTTGGATAATGGTGTGGCCCTTCATTTGAACAAACTTGAATCCCCTTTACCCAAGGATACTTTGTAGCAACTTTGGTTGATATTGGCCCAGTGGTTCTTGAGAAGAAGATGAAAATGTGAAAAGTTTACGACGACGACAACAACGACGACAACGACTACAACGACAGACAACGGAAAAATTTTGATCAGAAAAACTCACTTGAGCCTTCGGGTCAGGTGAGCTAATAAAATATATCGTGCAACATGAGTAATTAGCCTAAATAAAGGCAAAGGCATTTACGACGTTATTTCATTTTACTTAGAGATGTATATTTTAATGTAACCGCTCTGAGTTTTATGTATTGACTATTTACTTGTGTAGGTAGTCAACATGTACCTGCATTAATATTGTTAGACTGTTAATTAATTATTTATTTTCTGCAATTGTTGAATTTCTTTTATTAATTACTACTTTAGTTTTATTTAATCTCGATCAAAATCCATTCAGTGCTTTCAACATTTGATACATAGCTTTTATAGTTCAATAGTCAATAAAAACTAAAAAACCTCATTTCTTACATTTCTATGCAAGTTTCTGAATGGAAATGATCAAAAATTGTTTATTAATGTCAGATACACATTAGACCTAAGCAATAAATTTGAAGATTTTTTAATCTAATGCTGAAGATATTTTTTTATGACAAGAATTCCGATGCATCCACATTTTGTAGATTTTGAAAGTAAATCTATACAAAATTCACACCGATTGATGCTGAAAAAAAGTTTGATTAGCATTTAATTAAAAGTATTATGTCATATTTAATTATATTGAAATTGTAAATCATTTCTGTGGATGTGGTAGTATTTTGCGCATAAAATGTCCATGTAAGACATGTTGCCTACGATCAAATCACTTCAAAATATGATTATATATAACTCTTGAATGGTGTTGATGTTTGTTTTTCAACATCGATCATCTAAAACACGTGCTTCAGAGATAAAAAAAAAATTGCCGTCGGTTAAAGAAAAATTGAGTGTAGGTCTATTCATATTAAAAAAAAAAATTTCGAATTTATTGCTTAGGTGTGATGTGTTTCTGACATAAATTAAAAAAAATTTGATCATTTACATTCATATTAGTAAAAACGTAGGAAATTCGAACTTTGATCTATTGTATACGAAAAAGAAAAGAAAGTCATTTATATATTTACATATATTATGGAATGATCTCTGTTTTTATCTTTTCATATCGTCCCGTGGGGATCCGGGTTAGAATAGGTCCTCAGTACCCCCTTGCTTGTCGTAAAAAGCGACTAAAGGGGGTGGTCCTTCGGATGAGACCGTATAAACCGAGGCCACGTGTCACGGCAGGTGTGGCATGTTAAAGATCCCTCCCTGCTCAAAGACCGTGAGTGCTGAGCATAGGCCTAGTTTTGCAGCCCTTCACCGGCAATGGTGACGTCTCCAGTGAATTAATTCAGTGAATTATTCTGGAGAGAGACGTTAAACAGTATACAATCAATCAATCTATTCATATCTTTGGATTAAATTCATGCTGCATTTTAGTCTCTATCACGAAAAATAGTTTTGGAAAAAAAATCAAAGTCAACGGAATACAGACAATATGTTATGATCATAGTTTGATGATACTGTGAAATGACCGCTTTTGAAATTACGTTGTTTAAAGAAGAACAAGTAAATTAATTACATTGGCAAACTCTGATTTGGTCACGGCTGGGAAATGCATGACTATTCAGAGACTCAGAAAACTTTTATTATATCTTAATATAACCATTGGAAAACGGATGCTGGTACCACATTTATTTTCCCATATACTGAGTATATGAATATCTTGAATATTTAATAACTTTAATATGCTACATGTAAGCAAATGATTCTTGTTCAGATTAAGATGACGATGATTCTACCAGGGAAGGTTGATAACCGACAAAATCTTAATACACTAATGTAATACACTTAATGTAACTTGATTAAGCTTAAAAAGTTTCTCTCAAAAAAGTTTTTTTCTCTAACTAATATATGCACTGTTCTATTATGATTTTTATCAGTCTTAAGCAATCCAGTCGAGAAGATCCCAGCTAGGTCATTGTTACCATAGAGTGGCAAAGTGCATATTGGGCACATAAAAAACTTTAAATCTTAATCCTTTTCACAGACAAAGGTAGCAGTGAAAGTGCACTTGCGATCAATCCAATATCCATTCTGACACAGAGCTGCACAATCCTGATTTCCACCACCATCATTCGGGTCACCCGTGTTCCAGTTCCAATACATCGTACTTCTTTGCTGGGTCCAGGTAAACAGACCCTCTTGATCTATATCACTTAACCCTATCCAGGTATTACAACATCTCCATATTTCCGAACAGGCAGCTGAAGAAAAAATATAAAACATAGTTACATGCAGTCTACTTTCAATATTAAAACCTTTATCACACACTGTACATTTGTATGGAAAACCTTTTTCCCAATTTTTAAAATGTTGTTGAAGGAATTGTAGGCAGTAATGCATCAACAAAGGTTGAGGTGACTTGCGGCCCCTCGTATACTGACAAAAAGTTAAATGTCTAAATTTTACTCAAATCTTTGTATGTAACTAATCACTAATATGTGTACCTTTATAGAACACTATTTTTAACAAAAATAGAAACGTGATTTGAAAGATATAGATCTGTTATTGTGGTAGGGGTATCATGTTTACATTTAATTCCCATTGCATTTTAACCCCGCCCCACTCTTTGAAGCCCTTAAAATATTCGAGCGCAGGTAGGTACAATTTTCTCCTTTGGCTGGTCACTGTATTTTATTCAAATGTACCTAATGTGAAAGGAGAAAATTGTACCTAAATGCGCTCGCATGCTTTTTTAAAAAAAACTGTAAAATCTAGCTGGCCTTTTCCATTATAAACAGATCGACGGAACTGGATTTTCTGACGTAAGAATGAATTCATATGCTAATCGAGGCACAGGCGATACTTTCTAACTGACTAATCAGCTAAATGAAATTCGTTACGAGTGAGTACCACAAAAATACTATGGAAACATGCTTGGAGTTTTACTGTTTTCCGATATTTTTTATGCATTTGAGTCACAGATTAGACACGGATCTACATATGTACCATTTCCGAGACCACAGTAAAATTTATATACAGTTACAAACAATTGATAGAATATACATGATATATACTAATCAAAATTTCTAAGTCCCTACGTAAGTTTTTGTTTTACACAGCTTTTATATTAAATAATTCAGACAATATAAATTGAAAACTATACTGGATAAAAAGAGGCAAAATATTTTTTTTCACTTAATCTAGTTATATTAAAGCACTTTAACACAAAATGCAGAAGAGTGAAGGCACCCTAGAATTAAAAATTCGCAACGTTCAATACTGTTTTTATCCTCCGTGCAAACGAATTAAGATCAAGACAATTGCTTCTCAAAGAGTTCACACAATTAAAGAAAAATCTTTATTGAAGGTTATTCCATGTATGGACTAAGTCGTCCTCTATATTTCCGCCAGATTCTGCTGCTGGAACAGCGCTCAATCTCTGGTCCATCTTGTCCCGTTCATGATCTATAGGGTTGAGATGTGGATGACATTGAAGCTTACCCAAATTGTTTGTATCCAATATTAATCCTACAGTACATATAAGGCTTTCTTAAACGCATTCCCCACTCTTCCAGTTTGTTTCTAATAATTTGGATAATTAAGGAGACTTGAATTAATTTTTAATGAGTGCAGAGCAATTGCACGTGCAGATAGGTTCCTTCCACAATAGTTAGTAATTCTTCTGTAGTAGCCCTGTTGATGTGTCGTTGCAGTACGTGTATACGCCTTGACCATAGGCACTTCCGGTTCCGGTTTGAGTAAATTTCCGGTTAAACTCTAGGGTGGTTAAGTGGTATTTCTTGAAAATCTAGCATTTTAAATGATTATAAGGAATACAAGTAAGCTTTGTGCATCTTTCTGACGGTATTTTTAACGGTTTTACATAAAATAAACAAATACAAACGAAGGAAATACAACTTTCCTTTACTACCATCAGCTTGGACCATGGCAACTTCACTTGCACATTGTCGTTCGTACATACACGGAATTTTAAACAAGCTTTTTTCTGTTTTTCATATACAACTAAAGATTGAGAACACATGGCAATTTAAATAAATGGAAGATACACCCGAAAACATATGAAACTCGCACTTCATGCTTTTTAACAAAAAGGGTCATGGATGAGTAATTACACATTCGATTTCATTTTTTTTTGGCCGTAACAGGCAATCATTGAAAAATTAAGTCAAAATTGTGAACAACTAGCTAATTAATGTTATGGTTTTTAAATACTTAAAATAATAAAAGTGGGGACTTAGAAATTGTGACAAGTATACATTAGTTTAAAGTTTTGTAGCGTGTTTGGTGAGCAATTCGCTAGGTCTACACGTATTCCCGAGTATCGGTGAATACAAGTTTCATGTGCATTTCTTGCCCTGAAAACCGTAAATGCTGAAAATTCATGCGTATTATTAAGTAAAAACAGCATTAGCTGACCATATAAAACCATATAAAAGTTTGAAATGGAGAAACGGACAACAGGTAAATTGACCAAAACCACGTGTCTGCGATAAATTGTAAACGTAGTAAACCAGCATGTTTTGTTGTTCTGTCATCGGATTGGACAATGACTAAGTGCAAAATAATAACAATAGCCATATAAGGTCTTCTCCGGCACGCATATCCCTCTATTGTACTAAGACCCGCCCATTCTCTTGCAATAAAAGAAAATATTCGCACAAACCTGGCCGAATTTAGCTGTGATATGATCTAAAAAATCAAAGGTAATGCAGTATTCCTTTTAATTAAAATGTGTCTGAACTATTGAAACTATTCAAAAGGCGTCGTATTTATTCACTCATGTTTGAAAACTACCAACATCGTTGTAGATTAAATATAATTCGTCGTGGAAAAAGGGGCCCCAGATAGCAGTTATGTCACATCATCCTTTAATATGACTGTATTTGAATTATATTTTATTATAGAAGCGGGATACATTTCTTTAGCTGTTTTGGGGAGGACAACGATGATCTTATTCATGCATGATACGCCAATTTATGTACACATACACTATGCACACTGATTAATTAGATAAAGATGAACACAAAGGAATTTCTCCACCATATTCTTTCATTACTGTATATTTTTTTGCAAGTACTTTTAATCGCGTACTGGCTCTATCTTCAACGTCAAATCGCGAGAATTATAATCCGCGAATGGACAGTTGATCAATAGATTTTAAATGGATTTCATCGCCAAAAAAAAAAACAAAAAACAAAAACAAAAATTGATTCCTCGTGTATAATTAGGAATCTACAGTATTTCATTTTTATTTGATGCTTCTGTATAAGCCATTCACTTAGTCCCTAGTTCAGTGTAATCACTTTTAACCTGTGTAAACGTATGATATATTCGTATGTTAATTATAAAGAACACCTAGCTGTTGTTTATCTACTGCAGATACCCATGACAAGAAAACAATCAGGTGTAACGAATTCGAATGAATACCCAAGTACAAATTATCAGAGGTAGGTAAGTTAGCATGGTATTTACGAGTCATATTCAGCTTTAACTTTTTTTTCATATACATTTAAAATATCTTAAATTACTTACTAGAATTCCAAGGTGGCACAAAAACATCCATCATCCATTGGTTCTCTTCCTCAGTATCTATGGTAACCATGTTAGCACCGAGATTCTTACAGTGCAGCTGCAATATATATTTTTAACATTATGTATTAACTTTGCTAACGATTCTTGTGATGAAGTTTAATTTTTAATTGATTTATTTTTCTTTTTTAAAGATTTTGTCCACCTGTCGATTATCTTTAAGCTTGCAATTTAAAACAGGTTATTAAACGCTCTTCGTATAGAGTTTATCGTGTCTTTTGTCAACAAACCTTGAGTATTTTTTTTTAAAGAAATTTATTTTCATTTTAAATTACACAATTTCAGCATTACTTATTGAACAAGACTGTGGTGCTCTGAAACCGTTTATGTATATGTATTTAAAGAGATTTAGCTGATTTGTAAAGTATTCAGTTATTAATATGGAACATGTTTTGAAAGGAAACTTCTATGTTTATTTTATTCTGTGAAAAAATGTTGTTCATCGCCTTTGTCAATAACTTAAGAAAATGAAAATATAAGAAACAAAAGATGATGACACAAATTCTATATTTATATTTTAAAAATGATTCATTTTCATCTTTCATGAAAAAAGATATCTTCTAATAACCCCTGTGTTGTTTTTAAAAAGATTATTCTTGAACTTGTTCATCATAATTTCTGTTTCCCAAGAATACCAGTTGTCTGAAACGACATTTTGCAATAAGGTATGGAAAGTCTTTGCGTTCGTATGCTTCTAATCCTCAGTTATATTTTCTTCCTGTCGTCAGAGGTCTTACGTAAAAATAATGAAATAACGACACTTCTGTAGGTTCATCATTGATCGTAGGGAATCAATGTTTGTGTAATTCATGGGTCACTCTTACCCACGAATTTACATCCCTACGAACGTTTATTTTGTTAACATATCGGTCACTGAACTATCGTATTTACGGTAACTTTCGAAATTACACCCCCACGAACAGGTAAAATATTGCTTACCAACGAACAATGATTTCCACGAATCAAAATGATTCAACGGTATCTATTCTATAAATAACAATTAGTCAACTTTTCCACAGTACAGTTAACCTTACTTCTGCGTTCGTCCAGTTCATAGTGGTTGGACTAGAGATGTAACAATGGCCATCATGCAGTATCCATCCTGATTCACAGCCTTTAAAAATACAACAAAGTTACAATTTCCTACCAAAAATATTATTTCCATAAACTGCTTGTAAAAATCTATACTTTCCCTAATTTTGTGCCCTCAGTACTCATATTTTAAGCAACAACATTAAGATAATCAGGAAACCTCTTGGAATAAAAAAAAATATTTTCTCAATATGTTGAAATAAGTAAATGTGAAATCTTTTTAAAATATTGATATTGCTATTTGATTTAAATCAGGATAAGTATAACACTTGATATGAATTTTTATCAGAAACAAACCACTGGTGTGCACAAAAAATTCCCATCCTATTTCTATCTGACTCCTGTCAACTGACTGTTCATTAAGGCGAGACTTCACAATTTTACAATGTTCTGTGGCATTGTTGTACAGCATTCCTGCGCAGTATTTGTCGTGTAATAAACAGCGAAGACCACATTGAACTCGGCTAACCTTTAGTTGTGTTTCTAACACGTACACAGTTTCGTTCTTTGGTAGCATGTTTCTATACATAGAATCATGCTTCAGCACATTGTTATCAACTACCAATATCGTTGCACAATGATTGATAAGATATGTGCATGTGCAGATACATTTCAATTTTGTTGAAAACTTCATCCTTTCTAGAAACAGCGTTATTTTCGTCGTTGAAGAAGTGGTATAACTAAGTGAAAGTAAGATAAAAATGATAATGAACATGACATTTATGGTCCGAAACTTTGAAATGTTTCGTTGGAAGGTATTTTGCATTATGCTAGATTTCATAAAGTTAATTAGAAAAAAGGCATCTTTTTAATATGGAAAGTAGTCGAACAGATGAAAAAATACTTCTATCATCTTGCGCTTTAGTGTCATATTAATATACATAACATACATAAGATCAGAAGTTACGCTGTTTCTGTATCTGGGCAATTTAAAGGTATTCTTTAAAATGAACGGATACAAAGACGGCTGCATTTGACGGGAATGAAAAAATCATTTGGAAACTGTCATAATCTATTTCCCAAGAGCATATAAAAATCCTAACCAATTATTTTACATGTATGCAAATTATGTTCAAATTAATGGAATAATATTAAAATGAAGTTCTAAATCACTTTTAAAATATATATTGTTGACACGTTATACAATTTTGCATTATACCAGTAACAAATTAATGTGACCTTAATTTGTGCGAAAAACCATGTGAGTTTAAAAAGTGTGTTGAGCTGTAGTAAAACTTACACTTTCTCAAATGCAAATCAGTTAAATTGGTATGTTCAGTAAGGCCTCAAAAGAAATACAGTTGTGAAATATGACACTAGTACCACCTGTTCAAGAGTTATAGCTTATGTCAAAGTTTTTCAAAAAAAAAGGTCAAACTGAAGGATCAAGGTTAAAAGGTCAAAGTTATTGGTGTACAATGAAAGGTCTTGTCACGAGAAATAAATACGTGAAGTGTAGGAGCCCTAGCCTTTACTGTTCAAACGTCATGGCCAAGGTTAAAGTTTTTTTAATCTAGATCAATCTCTAAGTCAGGGTCAAAAGGTCAATTTTCTAAGTATTCAATAAAAGATGTGTACAAGAATTACTTATATGAAATATAAATGTCCTAGCACCAACCATTTAAAAGTTTATGACCAAAGCCATAGTAAGCTAAGTATTTTTGTGTAAAAGTTTGTCAAACTTAAAGATCAAATTCAGAAGGTCAAATTTGGTTGTACCCCCAAAAAAGGTCTTGTCATAGGAACTATATACTTGTGAAATATGACAGCCATAGTTCCACCCAGTCAAAGGTTATGCGCAAGGTTCAAGGTTTTGCAGAAAAAACAGACAAATAAACAGCTGAGCAGACAGATGGAAGGGCAGGGCAAAAACTATACATCCCCAAATCTTCGCATACGGAGCCATAAAAATAAGGAAAAAAACATATTTATTCACATATCATTCATTATAATACTCTGTCAATTATTTCTCTGGAAATTTAAAATACAAGTACTTATGTCTTTAGAATTCTCAATAAAAACGTATTTTGGGGATATGATCGAATGTAAATGATTAAAACAAAGAGAGACGATCGAACTGAAAATCTGTTTGATATAATAAAATTGTGTCGAGGCAAAGATTTTTTTTTTTTTTAGATCAGACGCTTATGAGCAATATGTATCCCCTGTCGACACACACTGAGCCCTGTGTGTTGATCAGGTGAACGGAGCATTGATTTCGTAGTCGTATTCAGTATAAACAAAAGAGCTGAACAGGTCAGCCATTATTTAACTCCATGTTTTTTAAAAGGTTTATAATAAGAACAATAAAACTTAAAAAAGTAGAGGTACTGTGAGCAATGAGCTCACTAAATGATACCCCCGCCTTTAATATGAATATAATGGTAGTGTTCATGTTTTGCTTTGGAAAATCCAAAATATATGTCAGATCAAAAAGTAAGATAAGAGGTGCACAATGGCAATGTGTAATAAAGATTCTGTGAAAGTTTTTATTTAATTTCCTTCAGTGGTATGAGAGGAGTTGCGGATAAGATATGGGTACACCTAAGCGTAACAGACGGACGGACATACCGATTACTATATACCCTCCTGCTTTTCAAGCAGAGGGTATGATAATAGGTAATTAATCACGAACAATGATGAAAACGCATAGTTTACGTTTTTTCTTGTATCTTTATATTGTAATGGTTTGAGTCTATAATACTGGACTGGATAGATTACTCAGACGGTAGAGCACCTGACTATTAAGGGAGGATTATCGGTATCGTTTCCCGGTTAAGCTGTTACGGATGTGGTGCCGTTGACCACCCTGGACTTGTATTTAAAATCCTTGCCGGGGAAAAATAAGAACTTTGGTTGTGTCTTCGAGGAGGGAGGAATGTAATGGTTATGGTGTGGATATTGGCCAAGGTAGCTCCATCGGTAGATTATCTGGCTAGTAAGGTAATCATTTTCTACTTTTATTTTATTTTAAAGCAACGTAACACAATAACACAATAAGAGTTTTAAAATTCAAATGTTTTAAATTCAAATGTTACATAAACCTATAGTAACTATAAACTTACCTAATCGGGTTAAGCATGCAGACTTACCACGTAGATACACGTAAGTAGATCCAACTTTGAAGTATGAGCAGTTGTTTCTACTTCACCGCTTTTGACTGTGCAGATCGTCGTTATTTTTTGCAATCCAAGGCATTTGCACATATCGACCAGCAGAAATTCTTTCATTTTTTTTTAAAGAGAACAATTCGATATTGATAACGATGGCAGTGTAATTTGTGTAAATTGGGCGACAGCGTGTATTAATGCCAACACGTGAATTTTAATTGGCAGTTACAATCTAATACTTAACAACCAGTTTAAATACTAACCAATTTTAGTGTACTAATTACCTGACGAGTATGTACGTGTCAAGAAATCCTTTATGGAACTGTGTAAAACAACGCACATGATTTCATTTTTTCTAGAGAAGTGATATCGGGCTAATAAGGCAACACAGTAACATTTTGTAATTCATTTTGGGGTAGGGAAATTATAATGATAATTAATAATATATTAATTTATGTAGATTTTAAAGCTTCTGTAAGTGATATAACTTTTTTAGCCGTTTTCCAATTTGATAAAGTACATCGTCCATTTAATCAAAGAATTCTTGATTCTTGATTTAAAAAAATAACAAGCCATTAGTTTTATTCATTACATAACAAAGAAAAATGAGTAATTTATTCATGTTAAAGAGAAAAACATAGCTTGAAGTAGTTAATCCTCTCTATGAAACAAAACTTATACAACAAATTATTATAATATTGTTATGATAAATTAAATTGGATTCAGAGATAGACATACCACGTACCTATATATCTAACATTTTAGATAATACATGAAATACAAATCATAAATATTAACACAAAATATACAACGTACAAATGAACAAATTACAATAAAAAATAGTTAAAACGCTCTAAGAAACTATACATGTAAAACAGAGTTGGTAATTATATTACTAATATATATATTTTATGCTCGAAAAAATGCAAATAATTTAGCGTCTATCTAATCCGATATTATCTGTATGTTTTGCCTTATTATCAAAACACTCACAAAGGTTACAAACTGTAATCTGGATATTTTTTTTTTATTTTCAACAACGGAAGTTCGTAATTGAAGATGATGTAGTTATGGACTCTTCAATGTCTTATTTATTTGAATTCGGATTACGCAGCACTGTTAAGACCTACTATGAGAAATCAAAAAAGCGGGATTTTTTAAAATTTTTATAATGTTGATATTGTTTTATTAGCATGAGTTTTAATTTAATGGGAATTAAACTAATGCATATGTAAGGGGTCTCAACCGAGTTCGGCCAAAGCGACTTCACGTACATCAGCTGTTTGTCACGTGACATATTTAAAATTAGAAAAAATATGTACGGATACAAAGATCGTAAAAGTTGAACGATATACGGATAATTTTTCACTATGAAATTGATTGTTTTCTTTGAGACAAATTTCTTAACCCGAAAAGTGCTGGGAGCAACTTCTGCATGCCCGAGAATTATATAAAATTTAGCCGACTTTTGATAGACTATGTGCATTTATACTATACGCATTGAAGAAATGTAAAATTACGGAAAAAATCAACAGCGCACAACTTGCTCCCAGCACTTTTCAAAATAGAAGGGACAGTAGCTACATGTGTATAAAATATTATAATTTATAATCAAGATATCGTTGAACTTTTGAGATTTTGGAGAGGTAGTACCTGCGATTGCAGTACGTTTCTGTATAAAGAGCATGAATGCGGCTTTTTAAGAGACCAAATAGTTATCAATAAAATAAGACTGTGAACTATTGATTAATGCATTCAAAAATATGAATCAATTTTAGTCAGATCACGCTTATGTCGCTTTAATTTTCATATTTTCAGTTCCACTAATAGCTTGATCTGCGTCTCAAGTACAGAGAAACTGCGTGTCAAACTAGCCTATGACGTAATATCTGTTAGTACAAAGAGATCAAGTCGGGTTTGAGTTTACATTCAAATAGTGTTATAATGACAAGATAAGTTACACATTGATTTATATTTACAATATTTATGAGAAATCAAAGTATGTAAGAGTATATGAAAAAGAAAATTGTTATTTATTCGCCGAGATTCATTTGTACAATTTCACCATGACGTCATAATCGAATTCCCGAGGCTCTGCATACACTGATCTGCCTTTGGGTAGCCCTTAACCTAGTTGCGTACTAAACTTACATTATGTAACAAGAATAGATATGGGTTACCCCATATCCAGATATATTCGACTTTTAGATTTTATATGGTTAACAATGTTTAATGACTTTTATAAAAATAAAACTGTACTGTTTATTTATGGAACTTGTGTAAATTTTGTGAGTCCGTAGCATTGCGGTCACCCAGTCTCCTAACCATGCTAACAAACAGTACACATACCTATGTCACCGCAACACCAGTTAGCCTTGGTCTATACACACGTGCGATGGAGTTGTCAAACGGACTCCCGCGAACAGAGAAGTTACGATGGCAGACAGAACTTTTTTTTCATGATTAGATCACATGAATACAAATTCTGATTAATAAAAATTAAATGATTGTCAGTTTAGAAATCCCCTGTCAGTTCGGGTTTTGTTACACATT